GATTGCCCCAGCCCTGGTGCTCTTGGCCTGGTTGAGCTTCAGGGGATCTGTAAAAGCACAATGTGAGCTGTACAGCTGTGTCCAGGTGTGGATGTCTCCCCTCAGGGGGTTCTGTGCTTTTTGTCTTGCTCAGCCAGAGCCATGTGATGCCTTCAGTTTCTGGAGCACAGGAGAAAGAAGCAATGATAAGGCTTGGCAGGGAATTATGAATTCAGTGATGTAAGACATCAATCTTGGTGAAAAATGAGGACTAAGGAGGGATGTGTTCATCACTCAGGCTCTTGTGTACATTGGAAGTAGCTCAGTAAATCATAGCTGTTATTTTGGCACTGCTGGTGTCAGGATGTTTCACTTCCATAAAAAATCACTCAGATTCTCTAAGACCTTGAGATTCTGTAGCACAGCAAGTGCCAGATTTTTAAAGATGAAGTACTCAAGGAGGAGAAGTGTGTTGAAGAACTTGGGCAAGGTGAAGAATTTTGCAGCAGGTGGAAGCCTGGAGGTTGTGGGCAGCATCTGGCTGGGGTTGGCCTTTGGCTTCCAAAAGCTTTTGAGGAAGCAAAGGCCACCAGGGATAAAGGAATGTCTGGGTTGTTGGTGGCTTGGTTAGAGGTGGTACATGAAAGGTGAGAGGGAAAGTTCAGCCTGGGCTAGGCAGGATTAACCTCAGAGCTTCTCCACATCATTCTGCAGAGAATTCGCAGCAGCAGCTGTGCTGCTCTGTGGAACTGATGCCTGAAGCAGCTGAACTGAGGCTGAACAGAGTTAAGGGGAATAAAGAGGATATTTATTAGAAGAGCTTTAAAGGCCACACCCTGGCAGTACCAGAGCTGCAGCCGTGGCTGTGCCTGGATGGCCCCAAGATGGAAGCAAAAGAGGGCTTGGCCCCAAGATCTCACATTTTGTAAATTTTGATCCATTTGCATATTTGAGCTAATTGTCCAATTAGCCCCAGCCCATGCAGTCCCATCCTGCTTGTTTTTCTCTCTTCAGTCCACATTGTTGGTGCTCTTGGGCCTGAGATTTGGATCATTTGTCCTTGGTCCCCAGCTAGAGAAGGAATTGTTGTGTCTCCCTACCCTGTGAAGAGAGCTCAGCATCCCCTAATATGAAACCCTGACCCACACACCAAAGTAGCACAAAATCAAGAAAAAATCAAAAGCTAAACCTGAGGTATCAGAACTAAGGCCCATCTGCACCCTGAGTGGTGGCTGCAATTCTGCTCTTTCAGTATCAGTAGGTGCTGAGGAGCAGTGAAGGCTCTGTAGAAAGGCACTAAAGGTGATGGAGGGATTTGAGTGGCTTCCCTGTAAGTGACAACAGAAGCAAAACCTTCTTTCTGTCAAAGAAACCGAGCAGGGGCTGTGTTAGAAGCCTACTGACACAGAGAAAGTGAAAGCAGGGATTATTTCTGTTTCCTGTTTGGGTGGAAAGTGAAACTAGCAGCTGGCATACCCCAAACAAAGCAGCTTCATGGTGAAACTGTGGAACTCTGTCACGAGATATTGCAAATATTAACTTCTGTGGCTTCACTTGGAGGCTGGAGGAAGTCATGGAAGACAAATCCTGAGGCTGTGTCAGATTTTTCAGACTCCACCTTTCTTGGGAAGCCTTTGTCATGTGGTTGGGAGGCTGAGGGCTGTGATCTGTGCCTACCATGGCATTTGGTCCCTGGGAAGAGGTGCTGCCCTGAGTGAGCATTTTGGGGACATCACCACAAGTGTCACAGGCCAGGAGAAGCCTCTGTGATATTCAGTGTAATAGAGATGTGCCAAGCTTACATCAAGGATGCTCAGCCTTGTGGGGAGATATAATTTTATAATAAATTCCTAAAATACACCTCATGGCCTTGCATTTCCTGAAATACCATGAGGGCCCTCTGGTGAGGCCAGAGGGGCTGTGTGGGGCTAAATCCCAAACAGAAATCACCAATGTCTGTCAGCTGAATAACCCACTGAATCCCAGGGTGTGCTGAGGTGGAAAGGATCCACAAGGATGCTCAGAGTCCAGCCCCTGGCCCTGTCCTGGGCTGGGCAGCTGGGGGTTCATGCTGACACCCCTCTGTGGTATTCACAGGCTCTCTGAACAGAGAGAAGCTGTGAGAGAAGCAGAGAAAAGAATGATCAAAGCAATTCTCTCATTTGCTGCTCCTGTGTTTTTAAATATGTGGAATGTGTTGAAGATCATTTACCTGAAGGGATTGCTCGATTGGATTCTGGTGATGGTGTTTTGTTTCATTGACCAGTTAGATCCACATCTGTGTGTTGGGACTGTTGGCAGAGAGCCACGAGTTTTTCAGTGGTTAGAAGTAAGTATGATGTAGTGTAGTTGTAGTATAATATAATGTAATATAATATCACAGAATCACAGAATGATGAGGTTGGAAGGGACCTCTAAGGTCATTGAGTCCAACCTGTGCCCTCACACCTCAACCAGACTGCAGCACCAAGTGCCATGTCCAGTCTTTTTTAAACACATCCAGAGATGGGGATTCTACCACCTCCCTGGGAAGAGCATTCCAGTACTTTATTATTATTTTGGTGAAAAATTTCTTTCCTAATATCCAACCTGTCCCTCCCCTGAGGTAGCTGGAGACTGAGTGCTCTGGTTCTGTCAGAGACCAACCCCAGCTGTGTGCAGCCTCCCTTCAGGAAGGTGCAGAGAGCAATAAGGTCACCCCTGAGCCTCCTCTTCTCCAGACTGAACAGCCCCAGCTCCTTCAAACGTTCCTCACAGGGTTTGTGTTCCCAGCCCCTCACCAGCCTTGTTGCCTCCTCTGGATGTGCTCAAGCATCTCAACGATGTTCTAAATTGAGGGGCCCAGAACTGGACACAGTATTCAAGATGAGGTGTCACCAGTGCTGAGTTCAGGGGCAGAATGAGCTCCCTGCTCCTGCTGGCCACACCATTCCTCATGCAGGCCAGGAGCCATTGACCTTCATGGCCACCAAGGCCCATTGCTGGCTCATATTCAACCAGCTGTCAACCAGCACCCCCAGGTCCCTTTCCACCTGAACACTGTCCAGCCACACTGTCCCCAGCTTGTCGAGCATTCAGCATTCCAAAGCCTTAGAGTCAGATCTCAATAATCTCCTGCCTCAGGGATTGCCTGCTTTTACTGTGCCCCTACTTTTACTGTACCTCTCTCCCCCAGGTGACCTCTTGAGTAGCCTCTTGCAGAGCCCCAGCGCGGCCAAACTGCTGAACCAGCCCATCCCCATCCTGGACACAGACAGTGAATACATCTGCTCCCTGGCTCTGGAGTGCCTGGCTCACCTCTTCAGCTGGATCCCTCTGTCCACGAGCATCACCCCGTCCCTGCTGACCACCATCTTCCACTTTGCGCGCTTCGGCTGCGACACGCGCGCGCGCAAGATGTCCTCGGTGAACGGCAGCAGCCCCAGCGCGCTGCTGGGCCAGGAGCGGGGCCGCCTGGGCGTGCTGGCCATGGCCTGCATCAACGAGCTCATGTCCAAGAACTGTGTGCCCATGGAGTTTGAGGAGTACCTGCTGCGCATGTTCCAGCAGACCTTCTACCTCCTGCAGAAGATCACGCGGGAGAACAATGCGCACACGGTGAAGAGCCGCCTGGAGGAGCTGGATGAGAGGTGGGGCTGCCTCAGGGCACTGTGCTGCCTCTGAAGGGCTGGGGGGTTGGTTTGGGGTGCTGCATGCTGTGTCTGATGGCTTTTCTTTCAGAGCACTGAGCCAGGGCAGCCAGGCAGAGAGGTGGGTGTGCCCAGGTAAGGGCTGGGTGCTGAGGGAGCTGCTGGCCCAGGTTGGTGTCCCCTGCTGGCCCAGGTTGGTGTCCCCTGCTGGCCCAGGTTGGTGTCCCCTGCTGTCCCTTCCCTCCCCTGTCCCCATACCAGAGCTGAAGCTGTGGTCACAGAGCACAGAAGAGGCTCAGTGAGGTAAAGGCACTGCAGTGTCCCCTGTGTCCCCTCTGGTATCTGCCACTCTGCCCAAAGTGGGGACACATCCTGTGAGTCATGACCTGGGAGAAGACAGCAAAAGCTTCCTACCCTTCACAGAGCCATGGCCATTTCTGATTCTTCTTTATTTTTGCTTTTTAAATTTATTTTTAAACAGCACCAAACACAGCTTGGGGAGCTCTGTTCAGTGGTGAATGGCTCCACCATCCCCTTGTATGAAACCCTGACCCACACATCAAAGCAGCACAATATAAAAAATAAAAAAAAAATAAATAAAAAGCTAAAACCTGAGGTTTAGAACTAAGAACTAGAACTACAACTTTGAACTAAGGTTTCTCTGCATCCTGAGTGGTGGCTGCAGTTCTGCTCTCCACAAGCTTGGCTGGAGGCAGCAGGGAAGCAGCAGCACCTTGGGAAGCTGTGTATATTCCTTTTCCAGGGTGTTGCTGCCACCTTTTGTTCCCTGGGACAGCTCCACTCTCTTATGTCAGCTATTCCTTCTTGTAGGGACAAAGTGAGACTCCTCCTGCTGTTGTGTTGAGAGGCTGAGCCTGGGTGTTGGCAGGGTGGTGCCTTGGTGCTGCCCTTGTCACAGGGCTGCTGGCAGTGGCAGAGAGGTTGTAACTGTGTGAAAGTGCTGAGTATCCTACTATGGGTACACAAGGGTGAGAATAAATTTCCACTCAGAAGGAAAAAAAACATTTAGGGGAAAGCTGTGAGTTCATTTGTAGAGAAAACTTGCACATTTCTGCTGCAGAATTCTCCTTTTCAGTATCCTTAGATATAGGCATAACTTTGGGGTGGTGAATCCAGACTCACAGGGAATTCTGCTGCTCATTTTCTGCTAGCTCTGACTTGTGTCACTGTGCCTAGAAATGAGACATGTGGGGATGGGACACCTTTGCCTGCAAGGAACAGAGAGCCAGGAGTTCCCTTCTGGATTTGAGAAAAGCTCTCCTGGACACCCACAATCCCTTCTTTAGCTGTTCTTTCTTTTATGGACACTGCAAGCAGCCTTTGGTGCCAGCCTTCAGTGAGGGTGTGGAGCTGTGCTGGCCTGGGCAGAGGGGGTGCTGCCATTCCTCAGACCTGTTACCCACAGGGACTGCTGGGGTCTGGGAGAATCCTTTATCCATTACTGAGGTCTGAAATGGGGATGGAACCAAGACACAGACCTGTTACCCACAGGGACTGCTGGGGCTGGGAGAATCCTTTATTCATTGCTGAGGTCTGAAATGGGGGTGGAACCAAGAGGTTCTGGAGACTGGAAAAGTCCAGCTGGCTTCAGGGGAAGTGGAGCTTTCTTTTCTCCTTGTCTTCTATGTGGAAAAGGCCATGAGGATTTTTCTGTTGTCACTTAAGGGCACAGCTGTACTTTTTGTGTCCAGAATTGAAGGACTCAGTGCATGGAAGTGTCATCCTGGCTTGGACTAATAAAATTCTGAAGGAAAGGGGCACTGAAGAATCCCCTTCAGTAGAGGGGTGTGCTCAGAACCTGCTGGCCCTGGAGTCCTTCCTTGCCTTCCTCTTGTGCTGCTGGTTATTTTTGTTCTGTTAAAAATCAGTCTGAACACTTTGGACAGTCCAGGAAAAAGTTCAGGTTGCCTTTTGCTTCATTTGTGTTTGGCTTTGAAGATCCCAAAAGATGGAAGTGGCTGGTAAGGATCCAAGGGCCAAGGAAGAGTTTCACTGGTCTCAGGTCAGAGCCTGTTTAGAAAATAAAAATTAAAAGGATGGAGATGTTTGAGTTTCTTTTTTTAAATTCTTTTTTCCCCCCCGGCTTTGATTTTTGAAGCGTTTGATCTGTGCTCAGGTGTGCTCAGTGATCTCCTGTGATGTAGGCAGTGCCAAATAAAGAAGGAACTTCATCTTTTTTGCACGTTCAAAGCAGTGTGTGCTTTTGAAGGCTCCCAACAGCCCCCAGTGCTGCAGCTCTGTCATCTGGCAGTGCTGCTGGTTGTGAGGGAGTTCTTGTTAAAAAGAGTGGGGATTCCCAAAAAAAACCCCAAATCCCCAGAGTTTGCAGCAGTGCAGAGCAGGCAGTAGAGTAAAACCAGGCTGCTCATGCCTGTCTGAAACTGTGCTGAGCCCAACTTTATATTTAAAGTACAAACTTGAAGGAGTTTGATGCATTTCAGGGCTCTGGGCATGGGGGAGGGCTGGCAGTGCCTGTGTGTGGTGCTGCCATCCCTGCTGGGGCTGTGGAGTGTTTAACCCTTGCTGCACAGATGGAGCTGAAGGTGGAGTTCCTGCTGTGCAGGGTGTGTTTGTTCCACAATAAAATCTCACCCCACTGGGGCTTTGCTGTTTTCCCCCAAGAGCTCTCCCTGCTGCACTGAGGTGGTGCCATTGCTGCAGTCCCTGAAGATTTGGTGGCAGATTCCTTTTGGGAACTGCACTTTGCACATTCCCTGAGGAGCCCCATGCTTTACAGGAAAATTTCTCTTCCATTTCCCAGTTCAGGCCCAGCTCAGAAACTCTTGGATGGCTGATCTCCACTGCAGGAGGAATTTTTCTTTCCAGCTTTCAGCTCCCTGGCTCTCCCACCCCCTCCTCTAAATGTAACCCCTCTGTTGCTGATTCCTGCATTAACTTTCTGCTTCCAGCTGAATTCCTCAGGGCTACAGTTCATTTCACCAATCCTGTCTCCATCACTACAATGACCTTTGCTAGCAAATTATTTCTGCAGGGTGGAGGGGGTTGTGTTCATTGGCAGGCCTGGTTGAACTCAATATTTATCTGAATATTAAAGTTGCTTTTGACTAGATTATCTTTTCTGCTGTTTCAGGTGTTGATGGAGTGAAGGGTTGCCCATCCTGTAGGTAATTGTTGCAGGGCTTTATATTTAATTGTTCTACTGATGGTTAATTGTAACTTTGCTTCGAATGAGAAGATTTTGAGTAGCTTTTACCACTATTTCAATGAAACTGCTTTCCCTTGGGGCACCTTGGCTGTTTTTTCTCAGTGTTTTCTCCTTTCCCTTGCAGCTACATTGAGAAGTTCACAGATTTCCTCCGGCTCTTTGTGAGCGTCCACCTGCGAAGGATCGAGTCCTACTCCCAGTTCCCTGTGGTTGAATTCCTGGCCCTGCTGTTCAAATACACTTTTCATCAGGTACAGCCCCACATCCTCATTTTCCCCAATCTGTTCTGTTATCCAGGGCCAGCTTTTTTGTCCCAGTAAACCCAAAAAAAGAGAATTTAACTGGTCTTACTGGCACTCCCCAGTGGTGCTGGGGATTTGGAGATGGCTTCATGTGCTCTTGGATTTAGAGGTCACAGGTTGCAGCAACAACTGTCTGATGTTTAACTTTGCTTCTGCTTTAATTTTTTTCTAGTCTTTACAATGGACAATGTGTGGAAAAGTCTCTCAGACTTGCTTGGTTTGTTTTTGGGGATTTTATGCCTTATCCTCAATCTGTGGCTTTCTTGTAGCTTTTAGTTTTTGTATTAAAGCCCCCAAGCCTTGTGGCTTTAGGTTGGTTTTACCTTGCTGTAGAAGCTGTCAGTGCAGCTCAGCCCCATTTATACAGGAACAATGACAAGGAAACAGCTTCATAATATCAGTAATAAACACAGAATCATGGAATAGTTTGGGTTGGAAGGGACCTTAAAACCCATCCAGTTCCACCCCTGCCATGGCAGGGACACCTCCCACTGTCCCAGGCTGCTCCCAGCCCTGCCCAGCCTGGCCTTGGGCACTGCCAGGGATCCAGGGTGGGCACCCTGTGCCAGGGCCTGCACACCCTCCCAGGGAACAATTCCCAATTCCCAATATCCCATCCATCCCTGCCCTCTGGCAGTGGGAGCCATTCCCTGTGTCCTGTCCCTCCATCCCTTGTCCCCAGTCCCTCTCCAGCTCTCCTGGAGCCCCTTCAGGCCCTGGAAAGCTGGAAAGTGGTGTAGCCAGCCATGAGATGGGTCAGCACTGAGACCAGCCTTGTAATTCCTGGTTCCTGCCCTTGTACAAAAGCTCTTGTTCATCTTTGGACAGCTCTGAATCTCGCCAGTGACATCCTAGAACTGTTCCAGTAAGGCAAGAAGCTCTTCCCATGGATTGAAGTGGATGATAACTCCTGTTTTCACTGTGAAATCCATCTTGCCATAGCTTGTGGCACTCATTGGGAATTTTGGTGTCTTTCAGCCTACACATGAAGGTTACTTTTCTTGCTTGGACATCTGGACACTCTTCTTGGACTATCTGACCAGCAAAATCAAAAGTCGCCTGGCAGACAAGGAAGCAGTGCTCAACAGGTGAGGGCTGGGGCTGCCAGGGTGGCACAGCTGGAATCATGGCATGGGTTGGGGTGAGGAACCTTAAAACTCATCCCATTGCACCCCTGCCATGGCAGGGACACCTCCCACTGTCCCAGGCTGCTCCAAACCCCATCCAGCCTGGCCTTGGGCACTGCCAGGGATCCAGGGGCTTCTCTGGGCACCCTGTGCCAGGGCCTGCCCACCCTGCCAGGGAAGGATTTTTTCCTGCAGCAGCAAAGAGACTTTGTGGTCACCATGGAAGAGCTGTGAGAAATAAGCTACTGCTTAGAGCAGCCTCCTGTGTGGTTGAGTCCTTTCTTTTTCTAAAAGAAAATCATGAAGTGTAAAAAGCATAAACCTCAATGTTTCACACTCATTCACAAGAACTCAGGCTGAGCAGGTTTGGGTAGACAAACTGGCACTAACATGTTTTGTGTGCACCTTGCAGGCAGAGGAAGGAAACTTTGTAATCTAAAATAGAACTGGAGCACATTTTAGCACAAATTAGAGGAGGAAACAGCACACGTTGCTTACTTAGTGTTCACACAGCTCATACAACTAATTAATGAATTAGGAAACAAATTTTATTTAATTAGGATTTAAAATTTCCTCTTTAAAAAGAGGATGTGTTTCTGAGAAATACAGATGAGACTGGAAGTCAAAAGTGGCACTTGCTTACCACTGTGTGTATCAGCTACAACAGTGGTTGGCAGCTCCTCCTTGGCAGATGCTGACCCTGAAAGGGGTGGGTTTTGTTTGAGAAGAGTCTCTTTGCTGCCACTTTAAAAATCTGGTGAATATCCTGGTGAGTTGTTTGGGTTTTTGAGGTTTAAAAGCACCATGGTTTATGCCATGTTTAGTTCTGCTGAGTGCAGAAGGAATATTCTTTCCCTTGAGCACCCTGAATAGCAGCAGTTGTTTTTGTAAAGCCAGCCTGGCATCATAACCACAAGGAAAAGTGGAACTACTGCAGAGCAGAGCTCCTCCTTTCAACATGGGAACTGTGGGGTTTGAATTTCTCAAGAAGTAGATTTTGGGTTGGAACTTCATGATTTGCTCCTAAAGTGCACGTGGTGTGTGTTGTCTTGGTGTCACCCAGCTTGTGATGGAGCAAATTGTAACAAAAAGCTGTCCCTGGGTCTGTCAGACTCCAAAACCCTAAATAAAGCTTGGGAGTGCTTGGGGCTGTGCTGTTTGTCCCCAGTGGCAGCTCTGACATCTCCACATCCCTGCACACCCCGAGCCGTGGGAACGCTGAGCTGGGCAGCCTGGGAGTGGTGACACCACAGGGCCACTGAGGACATTTCCTGTTCTGTGCTTCAGAAACTCTGCATTTTGTACACAGTGCCACTTTCACCACTGCACAAGTTGCCAAATGCAAGGTTACACCACCTTGCCCAGAGCTTGCAGCTGCCTGGCTGGTGGCACAGCTGACTGTCACATCTGACACTTGGCTTGCGTCATGCTCTGCGTCTGTTACTCCTTTTTAATGCCTGTTTTTCCAACCTGATTTTCCCTATTAAAAAACCAGGATTTTTTAATGAGACCCCAGCTGTTTTGTGAAGGAGATTTTTTCAAGGAAAAATCAGATTAACCCTGCTTGAAATCCCTGAAGTTTTGGTGTTGTGGTTGGGTGCTCTGCTGGGTGTGCAGCTCGGCATTATTTCTGTTGGCTCTCTGCTGTGCTCTGTCCCTGGCTCCCAAAGGTGCAGGGACATTTCAGTGACATGTTACAGTGCAAGCAGAAAAGGGGCTGCCTTTGTTTCAGGGGAGAAGGGCCTGAATTTCAGTGTGGGGGAGGAGACAGCAGCACAGACATCTCAGGGGTCTCTGAGGTCAGGATGACCCCGAGATGTGTTAGAAAATCTCTTTTTCCCAGCCTGGCAACCGAAGAAGGAGTCAGGATTATTCTGTTCTGGTTCTCAAGGTTGTTTATTCTCTGTTATCTGTAACATTCATTCCCTGGCCTCCTGAGGTCTATTCAGCAGATTGGTCTGTGGCATACTGACCACCCTCAGGGCAGTGTTATCTTTTTATACTAAAAACTACCTGTACATTATTTACAATCATTTTCCAATACCTATCACCTATGTTAGACAGAGTGTTCCTGCTCTAAACCAATCCAAAAGTGCCACCATCACCCAGAAGATGGAGGCTAAGAAGCAGCAGAGAGGACAAGGCACACCCAAATCCCTCCACCTTGGGACCCCAAACTCCCATTCTAAAAACCCCAAAATTCTGCTTTTCACCCTGTGACAAACTAACTATCATTCTGCTTAAACTTTTGTGGCTTGTAAATCCTCATATAAGGTTGGTTAATTTTTTCCATGGGTTAAAATCCAAGGCACTGGGGTGTTGGGCTCTGTGCCAAGGTCTCTGAGCCCCCTGGCAGGGGTTTGAGCCATCCAGGGCAGTCAGAGGAATTTCCTGGGTTCTGACACAGGCTCAAGGCAGCAACAACTGCTCTGGTTCCTCAGTTCCTCATTCAGTGCCCAGAGCAGAGCAGCAGAGGCTGCTGAGGACAGCCCAGGCTGCAAGAGGCTCTTGGTGCCTCCTGCTTGTGGACACCTGGTGTTGTTCCTGGCAAGCTGCTCCTGCTTTTCCTGTTTTGAACTCTGGGGCCGTTTCTGTTGCTGACAATCCTCCCTTCCCCTTCCAGAGGGATATTGGGTATTGCCAAGGCTGTTTCCTTACAGCTACCTTGTGACCTGAAATGAGCTGATCCCTTGAATCCCAGGCTCTGCTTGCTGTAACTGCTCTGTTTTAGATTTCCCTTGCTGGAAAGCTTTTACCCAACCCTGTGTGTCTCTCTGGTGGCTGCAGGTACGAAGATGCCTTGGTTCTGTTGCTGACAGAGGTGCTGAACCGGATCCAGTTCAGGTATAACCAGGCCCAGCTGGAGGAGCTGGATGACGAGACCCTGGATGATGATGTAAGCTGGACAGGACAGGGCCACCTGCACTGCTGCCACCTGCAGTGGCTTTTCCAGAGCTTGCACTTGGGAATATGGGCTAAACAGCTCCTTCTCCCCTCCCTGCTGTGTGGGGTGTGACAGCAATCACAGGGGTCTGAGGATGAGGGGAGAGACGAGGATCTGACTCCATGTTTCAGAAGGCTGAGTTAGTAATTTAATAAAAAAAATAAAATAAAACTATACTAAAAGAACAGAAAAAACGATTTCATCAGAAGGCTGGCTAAGAATAGAAAATGAAATAATGAATAACAGAGTCCAAGCCAGCTAGCCATGATTGGCCATTAATTAGAAACAACCACACGAGACCAATCCCAGATCCACCTGTTGCATTCCACAGCAGCAGATAAGCAATGTTTACATTTTGTTCCTGAGGCCTCTCAGCTTCTCAGATTTTAGGAAAGGATTTTCCATAAAAGATATCTATGACAATGGGGTTTGAGCTGTAAAACAGCTTCAGATGCTTTTCACCCCCAGTCACACTGGAGATGTAACCTTTGGCTTTAACTTGGTTCTTATTAGGGGAAGAATTTAGATCCTTGTGTTCTGATTGCCAGAGGTGTTAGATGTCCATGTCTAGACAACCTTGGAATTTCAAGTGTTTAATTAGTTTGGAATTAATTTGCTAGTCACTTGGGAATTTAAATGCTAAAATATCTCTGAAACAAAAGCTTGAAGCTGTGTCTTGTTGGTGCTTGTGTTTAAGCTTATTTCTCCTAAGTTGATACTGATAAAAATCACCTTGAAGCTGATAAATGTCAAAGTGGAGTGGTGGCCAAAGTGGGGAGGGCCAGAGCCCTGGAAGGGCAGGTCAGCTGTCACATGAGGATAGGTGAAGCAGCAGAGGGAATTTTATCACAAATGGCATCAGACAGAATTTTAAATTCTGGAGTGTTGAAGGCTGCTCACATCACAGCCTCTGAGCTTGATAGCAGCACCATTTCATAAGCAAAATAAATTATTTTCTGGATTCATTTGACACTTGTGTCATCTGGATAATTAGCTGCCATACCCCTGTAAAGACCATATTGGTGTTTGGATGCCTTTCCATGGTGATAATCATGTCACAAATAAAGATATAAATTATCCAGAGCAGTCCTGATGAAGTTGTCCTTATGCTTCCAAAACAGCATGGCAAATAATGATACTTGCAAAACTTCAAGCTTTTGGTATAAAACTTGAAAAGGGTTTTAGTTCATTATTTAAGGACAAAATGAAGTCAGGACAGGGTGCTGTTCATTCTGTTGTTTATGTTGCTGTGTGTGTTTGTTGTTCCATTTTTCCCTTCTCATATTAATAGCAGGTTTGGGCTATGATGGTAACAGGCAGCTTCTTTCTCAGTCACCTGTGTAGCTGAGCATGGAAAGAGTCTTTTACTGTTAAAATAATTGTTTAATTCACCTTTAAATTTCTTGCCACTCTTTCCTCTCCCTTCTCCTGCACTGTCCCCCCAGAATTTTATCAATTCTGCATGAAAACAGAACAAATTCTATATGAAAATAAGTTCCAGTGGAGTGTGCAAGTTACAATTCTCTAAGATCCTGTTTGTGGGGGGGGTTTCTCCCTGCTGTCCCTCCCTTCCCAGGGGAACACAGAGCTTTGGGGACCCAGGGAAGGGCAGGCAGTGCTCACCCCGTGTCCTTCTGTCTGCAGCAGCAAACGGAGTGGCAGCGGTACTTGCGCCAGAGCTTGGAGGTGGTGGCCAAAGTCATGGAGCTCCTGCCAACTCACGCCTTCTCCACACTCGTAAGTCCTGCCCCTGGCCAGAGTGCCACGTGGAATCAGCACCAACTGCTGCAGATTTTTTTTGACAGATGTCTCAGTGCCAAAAAAAAAAAAAAAATATAGGGAAATTTGGGGTTGGATGCAAAACTTGCATCCAAAACTTGGCAAACTTGGCAAGGGGAGATTAGAAATTGAAGAGAAAGAATTGTTTCTTTGGCTTTGTTGCATTTCCTGGTGTGTTTTGAAGAGAGTGGTTCAGTGTCTAAGTCCAGCTTGGAGGACACAGAAATTCCCACCTCTGGAAGTGTAAACATTTGGCAGCAACCCCTCTGGGCTGTTTGTCTTGGCCTTCATCTCGGAGGCAGGGCTGTGAATTGGGCAGATAAGTGTCATTGTTAGGGCTTTAAAGAGAGTGGAATCTTTATTTTAATTAAAGGCTAGATAAAAATGCTGGAGAGAGGCCTTGGACTATCGGGAAGCAGATCTGATCTGGATAAGTGCTTCTCTTCAGCTGCTGTCACCACCTTTGGTGGTGTAAAAGTTGTCTGGGCTTGTAGCATCCTATTAACAATTTTGAGGAGGAGATCTTGAGGATAGAAATGTGGCCCAGAATTCAGAGCAGTCCAGGTGGGGTTTTGCTGGGTGAGGAGAAAGGGAAATAACAGCAGTGAGATCTCAGCAAGTGCATTAATCCTGCTGGGAACACTGCACAGCTCGACCTCAGAACTGTATTCCCAAGGAGCAGAGAAAACTGGGCTGCTGCAGAGGCAGGAGATGCCTGACCTGAAGTGCCTTTGCAGTTGCTGTTTTTCTTGAGGCAGGGAAGCAAAGCCTGTCACTGGCAGGAGGGAACAAAGAGAGGCTGCTGTGCAGCCCTGCTGTGAGTCACCGAGGAGCAGAGCAGTGTTCAGGGAGCAGATGGATCAGATGGAGCCCAGCATGTGGCTTCCTTGGAGTAACACATCCACATGAGGAAGGCTCTGTGGTTTTTTAAACTCCCCTCAGGCAGTTATGGAGAGACACTGCACTGGTAATTAGGCACAGCATGTTGGTAGGGAGTGCTTTCCTGAGCCCTGCATTGTTCCTTCTGGGGGCTGGGGATGTGGGAGCCTTTCCAGCAGTTCCCAGTGGCTGCAGGGCTGGTGGGTGCTGTGGTTAGTTCAGGGAGTTTGGCAGTGGCAAATAATGAAAGCAGTGGACAGCAGCTGCCATGACTCCATCCCATGCTGGTCAAGGAAAGGCTGCAGCTCCTTCTGCTGATGGGCAAGAGAACTTCCACAGAACCAACCTCCAATTTCAGCCATTTTCCCCAACAGAAATTAAATAGAGCTGTGCCAGGATGAAGGAGTTGAGAAAGATGGTTTAGCTGAAGTATGAGCAGGACCTGGCATGTTTGCTGTCACTGCTGAGTGATGGAGCTGGGCTGACGCTCTGCTCCCACACCAGGGTGCATGAGGACTGTGGTGTTTATTCCTTTGGCTGTTTTCCCCATGGAATTTCACTGCTGCAGCCTGCAGCTTGCTGGCAGAGTGCTGCACTGCTTCCTTCTGTACCCTGGTAGAGGCACTGAACTCAACTTTCTGGTTGCATAATATTTTGGGAGCTTTTTAAGGCTCACCTTTTGAGAAGGTGACACTTGCAGGTGAGGTGGGTGAGCACAGACCTCCTGCACCTCAGACTCTGCCACTCCTGTGCTCCTTGGGCTGGGTTGTGCCTCCAGCTGTGTGTTCCTGCTGTGTGCCCTCACTTGCACTGTCAGACCATTATCTTGTCAGGCTGATTGCTGGGGTTAGAGGCAAAGGAGAGCTGCCACAGGGAAGGGCCTGCAGGGGAGTGATCTTTGTTTTCCTGACGGCTGTCAGGACCTGGGGAGTTGTGGGATGCAGGATCAGCCCAGAGCCCACCCTGCCCTTCTCCCAAATGTCTGTGTGAAGGCACTGGGGAGAAATGAGAGCACTCTGCTCTGGCAGAGCAGTCAGTCATTGGGTGTTACTGCCTGCCAAGCCCCAGATCACAATCAGTTCTTCTCTTTTCCAGTTTCCCGTTCTGCAGGATAACCTGGAAGTGTATCTGGGGCTCCAGCAGTTTGTGGTAACATCAGGAACAGGTAATAACCACCCTCTAACACTGTGCTCCTCCCTCTTTCATCACTGCAAAACCACTCCAGACCTGCTTTGGTGGTGTTTTTTTGTATTCACTTGATCCAAACCTGTGTGATGCCTCATGGCTTAGTGTTAAACTCCAGCAGCAGACAGAAATCTCATAATATGATTTATTCTTATTGTTTTGTATTTGAAATGAAGATACCAGAGGTGTTAAGAGCAGGTGTGCAGCACCAAATGCTACAGCTCCTTCCTGAGAAACAAGGGAAGCAGCAGTGGTGAGATCTACCTGAGGGCAGACTGTAGTTTAAGGAAATACTGAAATTCCCTGGTGTGACCAGGAAAGGAATCTGTCACATCTCCAATACTGCTGGACATGGCAGAATGGTGACTGTTGTATAGCCAGTTCCAGAAAAAATATTCCCAGTTTTAGGATGGTTTCAGCCCTAGGGTAAGCAATGTGTGGGGGTTTAGTGCTGTGTTAGAAGCTGTCCTGGGGGCTGGATCAGCAGCAGCTCAGTGCAGCTCTGGATTGAGCCCTGGGTGGTGGCACAGAGTCCCAGAATGGGTCTGGAAGGGACAACAACTTCCCTGCTCATCCCAGAGCACATGGCACAGGATTGTGTGTTTACATTGATGGCACAACATGGAGAGGTTGCTGCTGAAAGCTTGATCTGAGATTAAATACAGTCAGTGGAAAGAAAATCTGATTTTCTTCAGAAGATGGTGTTGGAGAACATGAGAACATACTTGTTTTTTAGTAGAAGTTCTGCAATGTTTGAGCCCAGGTGTCCACACCTGAGCAGCAGCAGGAGGATTGTGTGGGATTGGAAAACCTCATTAGCAGATTGTTTCTTGTACCTGAGAAACATGGAAGTGCACAACACACCTCACACGTGAAGTGAGCTCACAAATTCTCTGTCCCAAA